GGCAAAAGGGTCTCCTGCAAGTGCTCACACAGGGAGCGGGGCAGCCTGCGGGCGCTGGTAAGCTTTTGCTCTGCTTCTTTTGTATTGATCTCATTGTTTCCTGCTGGTGGAAACACCTGGGGAGCTCGAAGGGAGCCGCAGGAACCCAGCAGTGGGCTCACAGGCAGATCTGTTTGGCTCCGGCTTGGCTAAGCATTTGTTGTACTTTGTACCAGATTTGCCAAGGAGAAACCTCGCCGCATCTCAGGAGACTCTGGTCAGGGTTTCTCCCCAGAGAAGGGGAAATCCTGCCCCAGGGTGTCCTGAGCAGTGCTGGAGGAAGGCAGCAAATGCTCCCTGGGTCTCACAGCTGAGTCTAACCTCCAGTGTGCCTTTCTTTCGGCAGAGATCAGCAAGGAGCTGCGGCGAGCCCAGGAAGAATGGGAGGCTGTGGAAGAGATCCAGTCAGGTACAGCTGGTGCTGGGCGTAAGGGCGGTCATGCCAGAGTTGGACAGAGAAGGTCTGGGCAGAGGAAGAGGCCTGGGTCCCAGAGGCCAGGTCTGGGCACCTGTGGGTGGGTGTGCAGCTGGGGGGCATTTTTGGAACGGAGGAGAGAGCTGGGGTAAGGGCCGAGCATCTGCAGGGAGAGGGAGGGTGTAGAAGACACTCTGCCTTCCCCCAGCTCCCCACATCTTTGCCCTCCTGCTGTACTAGAAGCTGGGAGCGAGCTCCTCGTGCCAGAACGGCCACTCTGGTGTGAGGTGGGAGCTCATTTCGGCACCGTGAAGCTGGAGCAGAGGGGCAGGACTTACACTGCAGGGGGGGCTAATGCCGTTCTCTGTCTTCCTGCAGGGCTGGGGGGTACGTCAGCCAGTGCTGTGCCCCCGATCTCCTTCAACGAAGCGCTGCAGTACTTCCAGACAGCTGACCTTTCTGAGTGCAGGGTACGGGCAGGGCCCTGTGCTCCCACCCTCTCTTGGGGTGTAGTTTTAGTAAGTAGGAGAGGGGAGCGTGGTGGGAGAAGTACAGCGCTCCCCTGTTTCCCTTCTGCCTTCCCTTGGCTTGGCTCTTTGCGTGATCCTGTCCCTCCCGGCTCGCCCACGGGTTTTTCTCCTGCCCGATTCCCCAAGGGATGAGCCCTGATCATTTCTTTGCATGTTTTCTCTTCCACAGAAGAAGGTCCGGGCGACAGTACGCAGGCAAGGCCTGGCTGCTCTGGTTCACTTCCTCTTCGGCCCTCCCCGGCTCCCGCCGCAGACTGGCTCTGGCCATGGCGCAGTGTGAGTGCCCTCTCCGCCCCAACGCGGAGTCTCTGGCCCGGCCAGCATCGCCTTTATCATAAGAGCTTCGTGGGAGGCAGCTCGAGGGGAGCTCAGGGGTGTAGCGGGGTCTCTGTCCGCTTATCCTGTGGCAGGGGCCGGGCCC